ACTGGATCATCCTGCGGAGTGCGGGGTCCTCAGTGCACCTGAGAGCAGCCTCCAGGGTCTGGATGGCCTTGTCCTCTGCCGAGACTGAGTCGCTGAGCCCCTTTCCAACGACAGGGACCTTGCCCGACTTGCCCTCCTTGGAGTTGCTACCCTTGGCGGTGTAGAGGTCAACCTTCACTCCGCAGCGGCTGCACTTGCAAGCCTGCTTCTGCAGGACTGCGTTCCACTCATGCACACCACAGCTCTTGCAGGTGGACCACGGCGAAGCTGCACCTCGCTGCTGCTTGCTGCCAGGCATCCTGGGAGGAGCGCTGCCGTGGTGGTCCTGCAGGCGTGCGATGTCCCTTTCGCGCTGCAGTCGTGCCCTTGAGGCCGCCCGCTGGCGCTGCGCCCTGCGGTGCCACACCGGTGATCGGGAACGCCCTGGCGTGCCAAGAGCCCCGCCGATCGCGGCCGTCGTGCCCGCGCCCTGGGCAAGATGGGAGAAGTCGCCCCGCGGGGCTGGGGTCGTGGTCTGTCGGGCCGCTAGCCCAAAATGGGGCGCCTCGGACCACAACACCTTTGAGGGAGGAGGGGGGGAGGAGGAGGAGGAGGAGGAGGAGGAGGAGGAGGAGGAGGAGGAGGAGGAAGAGGAGGAGGCGGAGGCGGAGGAGGAGGAGGAGGAGGAGGAAGGATTTCGAGCTGGAGTCGGCGGTACATAGCCGATCCCTATCGGCGATCGAATTCGGCTATGTACCGATGGGACTCGGGTGCCGCGATGTCCTTCTCGCGTGTCCTGTCCCGGGCACTGTGTCTTCTCACGATCTCGAATTACAATCATTCGGGTGGGACCGTATCGGATCTCTATCGGCAATGGAGATCGGCTGTGGTCCCCGATTGCACATGCACGCGTTCCTCGGCGGGATGGGCCTATGGGGCCCCGCTCTGTGATGAATGGGCCATTGGAGGTCGATCAATCCCATCCTGAGCCCATTCCCCCCCAATTCGGCGGTGGACAAACCTCCCTTTAGTAAACCTCCCCTCAGTGAAAACGGCCTGCGACCGAAACCGACGGACCTGGACCCGCGAAAATGATGGCCTTCGACGCCCTCTCGCGAACCGAGAACGGCCAATTCCTCGATCGACGTGTCAGGGTAGGAGGTCTGCCCACCCCCGACCCAATCGTTGCCCCTCAGTTTTCACAGTTTGGCAGTCGCTCGCAAGCAGGCCACCTCACAAGAAATTCTGCTATGGATGACTCTATCGGAGGCTCCTAAGGCGTTACAGGCCTCAGAGTGCAGTGAGCTGCTCAGACCCTATGAGAGCGAGCTGCTGGATCTCCGTCCAACACTAGCCAGGTAAGTTTCACAGCGGCCTGCGTCCAAGCACCTCGGGGCGGCGCCCCGCGGCAACGACGACGCCCGACGTCGACCGTCGACCGCCCACCGAAGACCGACGACGGCGACGGCGGCGACGCCCGACGACGACGGACGACGACGACGACGACGACGACGACGAAAACGACGACGACGACGGCGGCGACGACGACGACGACGGCGACGACGGCGACGGCGACGGCAACGACGCCGACGGACAACGACGGCGGACCCAAACATCCGGCAGTATGAGTTTGCCAATCCGAGCGCGTTTTCTTCATTTCGGCCTCTGGGGCCCTTTATCGGGCCCCAGGGCAATCAAGAATTGATCCGGGACGCAGAACTACCCCAGGGGAAACGGCGGCAACTTTGGGGCCACGGATTGAGAGTCGTATCGGAATGTGTCCGGAGCGGCGACGGCGACAACGACGACCGAACTATACTGGGGCCGCTATGGCCAGGATGTCGAGGCGGGTCTGGCCGTGGCGCACCGTGGCCGCGAGGGACCGCCGAAGAATGTCCACAATAACATCCTGGAGTTAGATCCTGGGTCCTATAGGCACTCTGAATGAGAAGCTGGCCTGTCAGCAGGTGCTTCATGGAAAGCTCGTGCTGCCATCCGACGTCCCGCGCAGCCTCTGGAGATCTCGGGGGCATCCCGCGAGGTTCTAGATTGGACAAATCATGTGCCCCTGGATTCCTAATATCAAGATTTGTGGCGAATGCATCCGCTATAGACCCTCGGTCCACGCAGACGGCAACGACGACGACGACGACGACGACGACGACGACGACGACGACGACGACGACGACGACATTGCGCGGGTGGCGCCTCTCTCGCGCATCAGGGACGCCTGTGCCGGAGCGACGAGCAGGGTGCACAACAGCAGCGTTGCTCGCAGGGCCGCCATCGCAGCAGCACCGGTTGCCTGGAATCGGAAGGGGAAAAGGTAGGACCAATGTTCCAAGACCTCGGGCGGACTTCGATTTCTGTTTTATCCCGGCGTTTCCTTCCATTTCGGCCTCTGGGCGCCACTCTCGGGCCCCCGGCCATCACGCATAGCCCTGGGATGGAAATGTGTCCCTGAGAAAGGGTCAAGAACTCGGACGGGATCTGATTCCCACCCCTGCGAGACTCAAGATTCCATGATGCTGTTCCTCCAGGTTCCTTGGAGAGCTCTGCTGGGTCCTTTTTCGAATTCCTTTCGGTACTAGTGCGGTGCTTCGTGGAAGCGTCAGAACTCCAGAAAAAACTTCAACGGCTCCCCAATTGGTACCCACTGGAAACCCGTGGCTGACTGGTTCAAAGCTGGTGCCGTGTAAGCCCGCCATTCAAGCTGGGGGGGCTGGCGAGGGGGAAGGGGGAGGATGAACAACACATTTTGTGTTGTTGTTCTCCCACCCCCAACACCCTGGCGACCACTTCCATAGGCGGACGGCCAGGACCGCCCACCAGCACCATTACCACCACCGCCACCGCTCGCCCGTCCCCCTAACAAAAACGAGGCCGTCGGAACATGGAACCCTCTGGGTTGCAAGGCTTCGCAAGCATTTGAAGGGAAAGAAAGACGTGAATATGCATAGAAAGCGGAAGCACAAGCAACAACAAAACACACTGAATCTACATGCTCGCCACTGCGTAAAACCGGGACCGCTGTGGGCGTCGGCGTATCCGAATCCCCTGCCATAACTGCGAATGTGTTGAAAGGGCGGCACCCATGCGGAATCTCAATCGGATGGCCCGCAATTCTACGAATATCCCATAGAATGGTAGCTTGCCTGGTAGGATCCGTGTACAATGGGAAAGACATACGATCGGATGCTGGTGTATTGGTGTGCCAATCTGGCAGGATCCTGTTGAAAAGGCAGCCTCTACGAAGATCAAGATAAAATGGCAAACGCCCCCCAATAGACTCACGCTGCTCATTGTAAGCACCCATCTGAACTAGAACCACGCGCGCGCTACGCGCGCGCTTAGCTTCTGGCGGCTCGCGCGAAGCCCCGATGCCCAAGATACCACAAGAGAGGTCCCCCAAGAAAGAACCGCTCTTGGCGCGCGGGGGTGCCGGGCGTTCTGGAGAAAATTTCGGGTTCGGTGGGCCGGCACCGTGCGAGATCGGCGTGCGACCCGTCGGAAGGTTCCGAAAAATTCCCAGCCTGCGCAAATGACGCGACTGACACGGTGGCCGAGAAGGGCCCCAGCCGGGCCGCCAGGCTGCCGCCACCGCCGCAGCCGCCGCCGTCGTCGTGATGATCGTCGGGCTCGTCGTCGTAGTGGTCGTGGACGATGCGGCAAACCCGCGAACTTCTGCCGAACAACTTTCCGAATAACTGAAAATAACAAATGATAGAGCTTTGGCCGCGAACAAACCCGCGAACTTGTGCCGAACATTTTCCTGAACAGATGCATACTCCGGATTTCATAATAAAGTCGGGGGGGTCACATTTGGGGGGGTCTGATTTGAGCTGTCTTGGAAGGTTCGGGGGGGTCTGGGCAAAGGGCCGCCCTTTCATGGATGGTCTGGGGGGGTCTAAAACTTCTCGTCTGGGAGGGTTGTGACCCCCTCCCTTTTATTACGAAATCTGGAGTAACAAATCTCTGATGCTTCCACCGCAAAAAAGCCCGCGAAGCTGTGCCGGACAACCTCCCGATCAAACAAAGAACTTTCAACTTGCAACGATGAATCTGGAACCTTCAGATAACCAGCGAACGGCAGCACATACGCGCACTGCAACCAATTCGCACAAAAATTCAAGGATTGTTAGACACTAAACGTCGCTAAGTACTAAGACTGCTCGCTCAAATACTGTTTCTGCCGGTTCCTTTTCGCAATGCTAGCGAGCAAACCCTGAAAGGGTAATTGACTGAAAGGATAAATGCATCAAACAAACATCAAACATACGGTTGTTCGATGAATTGTTGCTTTGACGCTGCTAAGCGATTTAAGATCTCCCCCTGCACTACACAATGAAATCACCACGAATAAGTGCTTAAAGAAGACGGATAACTTCGCGCATAGCCTCCAAAATCGCGTCTCTGAGTTGAAGCGCCTGCGAACGTGGGGGGCCCAACCACGTATTGCGATAGATGGGAAAACAACACGAATCGGATAGAAAGCCCTCAGGGCTACACCGAGGCGTAATAAGAGCACAAGACGTTGCTAAACTATTCCAGAGCATCTTGAGAATTAACATGAAACTGCGTATTGAGTACCCTCGTTGTGCTCTAACGTGCTGCAACAGTGGTTTATATGCTACTCGAAACTTGCGAAATCAATCCTACAACTGGGGGTGTACAAACTTGAGAGCAGCAAAAGGCAAACTACATAACAACAGTGCGCAAGCTTTAGAACACGAGCGCACGCTTCAGGATAACAGCGCACAACTTGACAATGCATTCCACGAAACTGACGCACACTTGAAGACAATAGTGTGCACTTGGAAGAGCTAAACCATCTAGTCGAACCAAAAGAATGCACAATTGAAACACACTATAGAGCAACAGTGCGCAAATTTTAGAACACGCATGTACAATTTAGACAAGCAGTTACCACTTTCAAACAACAGAGCAAAACACAGGACAACAACGCATAAAAAACACAAGTTGAACAGCACTACGTATGCACAGACAACTATTGACAATGTTTTCCCGCGCGGTAAGTTAGAGAAGAAGGAGGAAAGCTGAGGGGACGAATGCGGACAGACTAGCAGAACGTGAGCGAACGCAGTGAACCGCGAACGCACGTTTGGTCTAGAAGGCAAGTTAAACTCACTAGCAGAGGTCACAAAATCTAGTCCAGACCACAGTGGGCCGGCAGATCGCAAAATGCAACACTACAAGTAGCAATGGACACTGTCTGAGACCACTGGCAGAAGCGAACACATCAGCCCAGAAGGAAAGGAGCAGACATAATACCGGCTGTTGGTGGATAGCGGCAGTGCGGGAGACTCAGGTTCCTCCCAGGGCAGAGGACAAATTATTAAGCTCCCCAGCCATTCAACTACAGGACCGTCCCAATAGAATGGAACTGGCAAGGCAAAGAGTTGCATCCCGTCGGCAGCTAGAAGAACGCGGATGAAGATATCCGAGAGCTGCCGTAAGACAGGCACGAGCCAGCCCAACAACTGCAGGATGTCCACACGGTCATGCCGTGTGGTGGCGGCGAGCCAACTGAAGCAACTCGAGCCAAACTATGGACGATATCTTAGAACAGAATGACTAGTTTTAGGGCACCATGTACACTGTAAAATGCGAATGCGTTGTTTTGGCCTCATCTCACATCTCTTCCGGGTGACCGGGTGTAAGAGGCGCACGGCTGCCCGGCAAGACCTGGGCGCCGGGCCGGGCACGGCGTAAGCAGACGCACAACAAAAACTCACGCACCAGCGTCTGACCGCCTGGCAAGCCCGAGGCCCCAGGGCAGCGCGAAAGCAAAAACCAAACATCTACATCTCGACGGCCTCTGTCGGCTCGAGATCGCGGCGACGGCCGAAGCGACCGTGCACCGACAAAACGCTGGTCACCTCAAGCCAGGGCTTCTCGGAGCCAGGGACTCCCAGGATGTCTCAGGCGAAACCAGCCTGAGCACATCGCGGACTACGTCTTGTGAGAACGTCTCAAGCGAAACGGGCCAAAGCACCTCAATTCAGGGCATCTCGCAGTTGCCCGGGGTTCGGAGGATGTCTCAGGCGAAGCGGGCCTGAGTACCTTGTGAACCACATCTTGGACCCCCCCCGCGGCGATGCTCGAGAAGCTCACTCGCGGCCAGCCTGTCGGCTGCGAGGGAGTTTCTCGAAATGGCCTCCACCTCCCCCTCCCTCCACCTCCCCCCATCCTCAACTAGAACCGCACGCGCGCTTCGCGCGCTTGGGTTCTAGCACATGCCATGGCGTTGTTAGCTGTGCGTGCTTTTCGGACGGGCTCATTCCATGCCTTGCCTTACCTCGTCCTCCAATATTCATTATACGTCCTTCCTCGTAAACCCTCCAATCTCTCTCGGTTGTCCTCGCTTATCACTTCTCGTTATTATCGATGGCCTCGAGCTGTTCCGGGCTGGTGTGGGGAGATATTGAATATGAAGTGGGCTGGCTTTAAGTGTACGGGTCTCTTGTGGATCTCCCTGTTTGGGCTGCCTTGAAAGCCTTGGGGCCCGCTTGGGGCCCTCTTGGGCTGTTCTTCGAAGTTGTGGGCCGTCTCGAGCCTCGGCGCCATGTGAAGATCTCCCGAAGCCATCCGAAGAGACGAGCGTGAGATTTACTGAATATGGAGAAACGTGACTGGTTTTTGCGTTCATGGCTCTCTGGGGTCAGTTGGGAGGGCCGTTGGGAGCTCCACTGGGGCATCGTGTGGCCCCTCTGGGCCGCTTTGAAACATCTTGGAGCATCTTGGACCACTAAGGGGCCATCTTGGCGGCCAGCGGGCGTCCTCCTGAACCAGCTCGGAACCCTCTTCAGGCCGAAAGAGTCACCTAAAGACCCCAAAGCGGATCCTGGAGCCAAGGGGGGGGCCAATTGAGTTGCGACGGGGGGAGTTGGGGGAAAAGTGGGCCACCCAAGGTCTCCTCCCCCATGGGCGATCCCGTCGTCTTCGTCCGTCGTCCGACGTCCGTCGTCCGTCCGCCCGCCATGTTGTTTCTCTATGATAGCTCTGCCGCGGGGATCTTCTCTCGCTTGCTCTCAGCGGAGGGTGCCAGGGATGAAGCGGCCAGCACTGTGTATGAGCTGCTGCCGTGAGCTGCAGCTGGCTGGATACCGCTGCGTGAAAGGCGCTGATACCCTGGGCTGCAGTGCCATGCAACTAAATCCCCCCAGCATTATTTATCCCACACGGCACTTCAACGAGAGATGGACATGCTTGGTTGGCGTATGAATTCTCTGTCCTGAGTCCTAAGATCATTATCATCTAACCCAAACCGACAATTCCCGGATTTCTTGGGGCCTTCGGAGACTCCTCGAAACCGTCTTGGGGGCGATCCAGGGCTCTCTGGAGCAGCCTTGACGGTGGTGTGGGGCCGATCAGGGGGATACACCTGAGTTGTGGGCCAGAGGCCTCATGGACGCATCTCGTGCCTCTTTGGAAGTCTTTCGGAGCACAGTGTTGGGCCTCTTGCATCGGGGTCTCTTCGAGACTAATTTGGGCACTGTTTTCGGTTTCTGGAGGGCCTCCCAGCACTTGGGGGGCCTTTTCGGCGGCCTCGTGGACCGTCTTGGAGGCCTTTGTGGCCGTCCAGGAGCAGACTTGGGCTGTCTTCGAGCGCTCGTGGGCCGTCTAGAGGCCACCTCAGTGCGCTCTTCAGCCAGGTTCCAGACAAGCTGGGGCGCTTTGGGAGCCTCTTGGGCCAACTTGGGGACCTTTGGGGGGGTCCGGGACCCCCCTGTGGGACGTCTTGGGGCGACAATATTGAGGGCCTCTTGGGCCGTCTTGGAGGCCTCTTGGGATGTCCTGGGGCGATCTTGGGGTTCTGTGATGCCGTCGTGGACGCTTCACACTCCAAAAACAAATGCTGAAAATATACGCTTCCCCAGAGAATTGGGGCGATGTTTGTATCTTGCTGCCCTCATAGGTGTCCTCTTGGAGCCCTCTTGACGGGTTTGGGGGGCCTCTCGGGCAGTCCATCTTGGGTGTCTTGGCGCGCTCTTGGACCGTCTCGGAAGCCTCCTGGACCGTCTGGGGAGCGCCTTCGGGCCCTCCGAAAGCGGGGGGGAATTGGGGAAAAGTGTGCCACCCCAGGGGCCGGGAACCCGGTCCCCTTGTATATTATACTATATAACGCTACACTCGATCTGACTATATCGTATCATACTACATTGTATTATGTTACGTTACATTGTACTAGATTAAAGTATGTAAAAATATAAAATGTTACAGTACATTCCACGTTGTCGTGTTATGTGTTGTGGCACCCTAATAAATTATAGTATGCTAGGCTGTGTCATGCTATACCGTATGAACTTATATCATATGGTATCATATTGAATCATATGACCTTATATTCGAACACATCATTACCCGATAGTAGAATGTGTCATTATATAGTCTAGCATGCGATAGTACACGACACTATAACGGTAACATACTACTTTAGATTTAGCTGTGCTAGTGTTACTGTATTGTACGATATCAAGTGGTATTATGCTGTATCGTATAATGTTATGTTGCATTACACTATATAATGATACAGTCTATGGTACCATAGTAGAGTTTACCGTCGTATAATACGACACCTTATGTTATCTACTATCGTATTATTCCACGGAACATGCCCTGCACGGGTTGTGCCTGGAGGAGGTCCATCTGCGGCCTCACTGGGCGTATTCGCGCGGGGGCAGCTGAATTATTCGGCACAACCTTCAGGAGGGCACAGGATACCCCAAGACCTCTTCAGCCGGCCCCAGTAAGTGGCTACCAGGCGGCCCCCGAAGGCTTCTCCAGACAGCCTCAGCAAGCGGCCCCAGGAGGGCTCTCCAGGCGGTCACAGGAATGGACTCCAGGCGCCCCAGAAAGCTTTTCCAGGCGGCCCCAGGATGCAGACGGGCCCAGGAGGCGTGTCCAGGCGGCCGTGCGAAGCGTCTCCAAGCGGCCCCTGACGGCTTCTCCCGGCGGCCCCAGGAGGCGTCTCCAGGCGGCCCTGGGAAGCGTCCAGGCGGCCCCAGGAGGCGTCTCCAGGCGGCCCTTGAAGACTTCCCTGGGCGGCCCCAGAAAGCGTCTCCAGGCGGCGTGTTCAGGCGGCCCCAGTCCAGGCGGCCCCAGGAGGCGTCTGCAGGCAGCCCCAGGAGGCGACTGCAGGCGGCCCCCGAAGGCCTCGCCAGGCGGCCCCAGAAGGCCTCGCCAGGCGGCCCCAGAAGGCCTCTCCAGGCGGCCCCCAAAGGCCTCTCCAGGGAGGTCCAGGGGCTTGTTCGGTAGAAGTCAGGAGGGTTGTTCGGTTCCTGTTCGGGGGTTTGTTCGGTTCCTGTTCGGGGGTTTGTTCCGTTCCTGTTCGGGGGGTTGTTCGGGTCCTGTTCGGGGGGTTGTTCGGTAGAAGCTCGGAAGTAGGTTCTGGAGTTCGTAGGCTTGCTGTAGCTTGAGTGGTCGCTGCGGTTGTGGTCTTCAATGGACGTGATCGGGCGACTACACGTTCTGGAACGCGTTGTGCTTTCTGGGACCCCTGGAGGCCTGCGGATTCTGGAACTCTGTGGAGGCCGTCGGTCGTCGTCGATCGATCGTCGTCATTGTAGTCGCCGTACCTCTGGAGGCCGCCGGAGCTCCTCGCCGTCACTGGCATCGTCGCCATGATCGTCGTGGTTGTCGTCGTGGTCGTCGTTGTCGCCGCCAACGTGGTCGCAGCCGTCTGCGATCGAGGAGGGGGGATGAGGGATCCAAGGTCGAAGATCGAGGTTGGTAAATGATCTTTTCCCATCTTGGGCCTCGCGGGGCCGCTCTCGTCGCCGCGGTTGCCCAAGGCGCGCTCGTCCAGCGTGCTGGCTCTGGCCGCCGTGGGCGCTACAGCCGCGGCCACCGTCGTCATCATCGTCGGCTCTGCACGTTTTTGTGCATGCTTGGCTGTGGTTGGCATTTCCGTGACCTGCCGTCCCAGAACTCGGGAGACACCCTGAGACGTCTGGGGACCGTCGGGGGTCATCGTCGTCGCCCTCGACACATCTCTTCCTCCTCCTCCTCCTCCTTCTCCTCCTCGTCCTCCTCCTCCTCTTCACTCATCTGGCTCCTGCGGTGTGATTCGGATGATCCGCTCGGATGTTCACGTGGAATACTCTGGGACATCGATGTAGATGCTCCCGGAGAGGCTTCTGGAAACATAGCTCGGATGCTTCTGAAGAATCTCTGAACTTTTGCTGCGGTCCGTCTTACGTGTGTCGTTGGGCTGGCTTGGGGACGGAGGAATGGGCATGTGCTCTGACATGTTCTGGAGCATTCGAAGGCTCTCGGCAGCTTTCCAGAATCCGTTCGGAAGTCCTCTAACAGCTCTGTCAGGAAAAGACAACCCTTGCACAACATTGAGAGACATTAAACAACAACACGTGTGTGTGTGTGTGCCTCTTGGCGTCTTCTTGGGGGTCCCCTCGGGGCCCTGACCAAGCGTCATGGGGGCTCCCGGAGCCATCTTCAAGCAATGTTGGGCCGCCCCCAGGCCTTTCGGAAGCCCGAAAGGCGCCCAGGGGTTTCCAAGGCTCCCGGATGCACCTTGGGGGCTGGCTGGCAGTGCCAACGACGGAAGGGCCCCTTCTCCGTGTTCTGTTGGACGCGCCGCGCGCATGTTTGCGAAGTCTCCTGGGCCGACTGTTTTGGCGGTCTTGGAGGCTTCTCGGCCCACCTGGGCGGTCCCAAACTTGGCAAAACCAGAAGGCTAAAACCGCTAATTCCGAATGCTTTTCAATCTGGACACCTTCTTGGCAGTCCTCTGGGGACATTGCCGGGGAGTCGCGGGGGCCTGGATCCGTCTCGAGGCAATGTTGGGCTGTCTCGGGGCGCCTGGCGGCCTTTTGGCGACCTCTTAAGGGTTGGCTGGCGGTGTCGGCGTCTGTGGCGCCCACCTGTGCTCTCGTGGAAACGTCGTAGACCCTCTTTTCCGAGACAAGCGCGTCGCCGAAATGCAGGTGTCACGCCCATTCCTCGCGGGCCGGGCTCGGCGTCACCGAGGTCTGCACTACGTCAGGTGGGCAATCCACGTTAGGGGGGGATGTAGGGATGAGAGGTAGCTGGCACTGGGAGAGCCGCACCAGCGGCCTGCCAGGAGGCAGGAAAAATCAAGCACGACGGCTCGCGAACGGCACTAACACACACACACACACACGGGGAAGGCAACCTGGAGACTCAAGACTACGACGAGTTAGTCAGCTGCATGGCTGAATCAATATTGAGGTTCCCAGGATCAGTCAATCAACTTTACACGTCCAATCTTCCAGTGCACCGGGACCGTCCACTTTAGCAACTACACGGCCACGGGGATCGCCGCAATTCCGTAAGAGTTCACACATGGATACAATGAGAGCATGGCATCTACGAGAAGATTCTGTGCACATGATCTCCTGCACTGCGCCCACATGCGAATCGATCTTTACTACGACGTCCCCTTCCGGCTGAACATTGACAACGTTTGTCTTCGCAACCGTGAGGTCGATGCCGAAGGCCTTTGCAATGTAGACATAGCCAGGGGAACTGAACACAACCGCGGGAATGTTCAGCCGAGCGGCCCCGAGTACAGCGAAGGCCCCGCCGAGCGAGTGCCCTGTCCCTACAGTCACGTACCCCAGCGAGTCGCCTTCCTCCTTGATTCTGCGTAGTTTATCGAAAACTCTCTGCAAAACGGGATCCTCCAGAAAATGGTACACGGACAAGAGATAGAACACATGTTGAATTTGTTCGGTACTCAAAAAGAAAATGATGGGAATGATGGTGTCCACAAGCTCTAAAAGAAAACTCATCGTGTACAGGTCGAGGTCTTTCAATATGTCGCGCTCCGTAAGCGTGCCTCTCACAGAGAGAACCTGCACTTTGATGGATGGGAACCTGAAGACTCCCATGCGCCCGACCTTATCATAGTCGTCGAGGTCTACCAGCTGAGCATCGGCAAGGCTGGTGTCTCCGAAGCCTTGTTGTACAATAGACGCGATTGAATCGTTGCTCTTGTGATACACTGCACTCGCCAGAATGCTCAAATCTAGTGCTGTAAGCCGCTGTTCTTCTGGGAACGAATGATGACCCCATTGTCCCACGCAAATTGGATATACTGACGGTTTCTGCACAGGTGTGTAATTCATACCCCCAGTGAGCCGCGTGCCCTCGCCATCCGCTGCAATTGGAGTTTGCAAAGCCACGAAAAAGAAAATGGCTGACAGGGAAAGACTGCTGTACCCAACTAGCTTGAAGATCCCAGTTACTACGCGACCCACGACAAGCTGTTCAAGCTGCAGCAGAGCCACAGCTATTACCAAGAAGCAAATCAGCCCAATGGTGCTGTTTTTGTGAATGGTCGTCAATGCCACATTCAACGTAAGCACAAGGACCATCAGCACAACCAATAGCACCTGATTCCTCGAACGTTTCGCTGTGAAGAGAGCCCGAAACAAGTTTGGCGAACTACAGCTGTCCTGGCTGGCAACGATGCTGCTCCAATCTTCTTGTCCCGCATCCCAGAATGAGGAACCAAGGCTCCAATCCGATGGAACGGCGTCAAGCATAGTCAACGCCGTTCCCACTTTAGCGTTACTTGCGACGAGAAGCTCGCAGAGGAAATTGAGGAACACAAGAAACGCTGCCAAGATGAACCCGCCTCTGATGTAACCGACCACAAATGTGGTCAACATACCGTTTTGCATGGTAGAGTGGGTGACTGCGACATGGATGACTGCCGAGAGTAGTGGTGCTGCGACTGAGGACACAATGACAAACAGGTCCACTACATTCTTCATTCGCGCTGATGGCTTCCAACGCCTCCAAACAAACATGTAAATCAAAACGGTGATTTTGCGTGTCCGCTCGAGTACATGTTTGCGAAGAACATCTTCGTATAACATTGTCAAGCTGGCTAAGAACATCAGCGTCAGCCAGCACAGTAATGGAACCAGCAACAGCGATACCGCCGCTCGCCTCGGTAAAAAGTCTCCTTCAAAAGAGAGGCAAAAAAAATATGTTTGGCACATCTTCCCGATCACACTCACACAACCGAGGACCAGCAACACCGTCATTAAATACAAAAGCTGAACCTTCACGAAATAACCAACAGTTTTGATGTCAACACCTGGCACACAAACGAGAGCCCTCAACGTACACCGCATTGGGTGATCAACGCCCCCTTGATATTGATCTGCGCTGTTGATGGTCAAAGTTGAACGTGCTTGCTAGCTGGAAATATGAAAAAAAACAGCGCTTGAGCCACACGAGACGTCGTAGACCCTCTTGGAGCTTTCCTGCGCCGTCTTGGGCCTTTCTGAGCCGTCTGGGGGCCCTCCGGGGCACATATTCTTTCTTTCTCGGTGGGTATCGGGGGCTTCTGGGGCCATGCTGAAGCACTGGGGCCGTCTCCGATCTGCAAACCCCGCATGGCGGTCCTAGGCTAGTCTGGAGGGCATCGTCGGCCGTCTGGAAGCTCTTGGCGCTGTCGGAGCCCTAATGATCGGGGGCGCGCAAACATGGACTAGCGATCCATGGATTTGGCGCGCGGGGGAGGTGCCCTCCCCAAGATGCGGCCGGTGCCGCCTCGGTCGGCGGCGGAAATCCGCGAATTGCCATGGAAACGGGACCCGTCGCTACTCCACGCCCCCTTGATCCATGTTTGCGATCGCCTGAAATGAGGAGGCCAGGGGCGCCCATGCCAACTGGTGGGAGCCATCCAGACCCCTCCCCCGACAACACCCACGCTCGGAGGACGATGATAACGAAGAGGAAACACGGAGGGAGAAAAAGTAGAATTAACAGGTGGTGGGACGGCTGTCCCTCCCAAAACCGCCGGGGAACATTCGGGCTTGAATTCCTGAATGTGTCCAGCCGTGGCCAAGAGAGAGTGCCCTGAAGGCCTAGAAGATTCGGAAACGTCTGACAACCCTTTGGACCGTCTTGGAGCCCCAAATTCCCCACACGAGGCCTCTGGGGGGCCTGTTGGTGCCTACTGGGGGCCCCTCGGGGCCGAGGACTCGAAATATTCGCTCGGGTCCCCCATCTGGGCCCCCTCTTGGAGCAGTCTTTGGGGCCTCTTGGGCAGTCTTGGGCGCCTCTTGCGCCGTCTTGGAAGCCTCTTGAGCCGTTTTATGATACTCTTGGAAACATCTTGGGCTGTCTTGAAACTATATTTGGGGCCTCCAGGGCCTGGAGCGTCGGGAAGCCGAAAAGGCGAGAAAGCTGAATACCTTCAGAAACCAACGGAGAATGACAGATGTTGTCCTCTTGGAGCCCTCTTGGGGGGCTTCTTGGAGGCCTCTCGGGAGGTTTGGGGCGCCTCTTGGACCGTCTGGCGGCCGTCAAGGGCCGTTTTGGCGGTCTCGCAGCGCGCTTGCAGGCGCTCTGGTGCCGCGCTTGCGCCCCCCCCACCCCCCCACGACTCTCGCTGCCCCGCCGCCCCGCCGGCCGCACGCGGCCGCGCCCCGAGGCTTCGAGAAGGCAAGCCGAGGTGCTCGCGCAGGGCCCGAGTAGAGCCCCCTGCCTCGAGCGGTGGAGGGAGGGAGGGCGGAGGGAGCGGGCGGGGGAGCAGAAGGTGGGGCAGGAGAGGTCTCCAGCACGCCGGCAGGGCCCCGGGCAGTCTGGTCCACACATTTGCGGTCGGTGGCCCGGCCCGGGGCCCCGGACCCAGTGCCCAGATATGTGTAGATGTTAGATTCGAATGCAGCAATCAGCACTCCTACTCGGGTCCGATGGTGGTGACCACTGGTACCATGATCTTCTCAGGGCGATGAGCACATCTCATCGGGCCCCAGTAGAGATTAGCACCTCTCGCCCCTAGCAGGACCCACTTCGAACTTCGAGTGGTCCAGACCTGCGATGCATCTTACTAGAATGGTATGTAAGCGCCCGATACGCTCCTTTTAGAATTGCAGGCGCCTCTAGTGTGAGCATGGTCGGGTGACAGGCACCTCCAATATATCCGATTGGGGCGGCACACCCCCTCATCATTATCGAATGGATCGTAACAGAGCGGCAGCGCATCACTGCCGCAATCCTACAACAGCGAGACTCCTTAAGCGCAAGCTCTGCTCCGGAAATGAAATCCAGGGTTACAAGGGACGACATGTCAACCCCGCTCCCACCTTTGAATCCTCCTGAGGCCTCCTCGGATGTTATGGAGCCTTCTGCCTGGTGCCAGGACTCGTCTGCGTCAAGGGGCATCTTGGGCCCCCCTGCGCCTCCAGGGATGCCTTGAGGCACCCTGTGGCCTGCCGAGGGCAGCCTCCTCGACTTCTGGGACACGACGATCAAGACGACGACGACGATGGCGACGACGACGACGACGACGACGACCCCCGAGGCCCACCGCCCAGGGAGGCGCGCCCGGCCGCGATCGCCTGTGGACAGGGTGTTTGGGATGCCGGGCCAGCGGCCGCTACGTTCGGTCCAGGGGGCCGGGCTCCCTCGGGGCGCACCGCCGACGCTCCGAGGCGGTCGGGCCGAGAAGGCGAGCAGGGTGCGCGCGCGCGGGAAGGGGGGCCCCGCCGGGCGCGGACCTGCGCCGAGCAGCCGCAGCCTCGGGAGGGCACGGCCCCTCGCCCCCAGGGGGGGGGGCCTGTCGTCAGGGGGGGGGGCCCTGTCGTGGGAGTCCGCTCTTGCTTGCAAGCGTATTTGCTTGCATGTTTACTCGCATGGCAAGTCGCCCCCACCGCACCCCCTCCCCTCCGCCGCCATTTCACTCAGCGCTGGGCCGAGAAGGTGTGCGAGCGAGTCCCCGCTTGCGTGAGGTCCACACTTCCTTTCAGGCCCCGCCAAGGCCCCCCCTCGCCAGTAAACTTGCCCGAGTCTGCAAAGAAATAGCCTCTAATATCTGTGGAGGGCTGGCGACGTCGAAGCCGACGGGGTCCATTCTTCTTAACACTCATTGGCGAGTTTGTTCACACGCAAGGGTAGGGGGGGGCGTGGCGAGGCTTGAACGGAAATCTGGACTTCAGGTCAGTCGGGACTCCCTTGCACGCAACCGTTTCCGGCCCAGCGCTGTTTGAAAGGGCGGCGGAAGAGGGGGGGAGTGAAGAGGGGGGAATACAATGAATGTAGTCATGCTTGAGCCCGGAGAAGTGAAACGCCCTCGTCGGGCCCCCCAACAGCTCCCCCGAGCTGTGACTAGACTGTTTCGACGCCGTGATGTCTGCATCGCTGTCGGCGTCCTGTCTTGGGGACCGCATTCGACCCCCCATCCATCCCATCCGCCCCTAGCCCATCGGGAGACGGCCCTCGGCGGAGACCTCTGAATGACACACGGGCTCGGGGACCTCTGAATGACGCACGGGCTGCAAAAACAACGGAACATCGGATGTTCAGGAGGCGGCGAACAAACGGAAACCTCCGTCGCCCTTCTGTGTTTTCCCCTCGTCGGTCCTTCCGCCCCATCCCCCCTACTCCTCCTCCTCCTCATGCTCCTCCGCCCATCCCTCGGGGGCACGCTTCAGAGGAAATAAAAAGGGCAGGGAAGACGGAAAAGGAAGAGGAGGGGGATGCAGAAGGCCCTGCATCATGTACGCCGCAAGGGCGGCATCTTTGTCAACATGGGAAGACTCTTTTCTTCGCGCGTGCAGTGTACGGCAGGGCGACCTTTTTTGCGAGGGGTCCCTGGCTGGCGCTTTCTCGGGTGAGAGTTAGGAGGATCTCAAGCCATGCTGGACGCGGTTCGTAGGACTTGCCAGGGGGTTCGCCTGGAAGGAAATTGAGCCAGAGGAGTGGTGTTTAGCGTGTGCCAACTTTCTCCGAGAATAGACGGGCATCACATTTAGGACGATGGATAGAGACTATACCCAATATCTCGAAGCCCATGCGGATCAACTCAATGCGAGTATCGACGGGACGACTCCCACCAGGGAGTGGAAGCTGGCTAAGAAGCTCCTCCTGCATGGGGGGGAAAGGCACAAGTAAGTTATGGCGTTCCCCGTTCGGCTTTCGCCTGAGGGGGAGCCCCTTGTTACCCCCCAGCAAGACGCTGACGATTTGCAGCGCCACGTTGAAAACATAGAGCGTGCTTATCCAGTGTCGGAAGAGCAGGCCTGTGCTGCTTATAATCAGCGTGGCAGCTTGCTAGGTGAGCAGGTTGGTCGCAGCATAGAGAACGTCATCTCTCGCCTAGAGCTGACCAGAAGCTTCGCTCAGCTCAAGCGTGACAAGGCTGGAGGTCTTGATCACATCAGTAATGATGTGTACCGGGCCGATCCAGAAGGTTTAGCCAGGATTGTTCACCCGATCCTGGTTAAGACTGCTTTGGCTGGAAGAGAAGCATTTATGATGAAACATCGGGAGATGGTGAGCTGCTTCAAAGGGAAAGGTGATCAGAGGCTTGCGAATGCCCAGAGGTCGATCCTTCTGGCGAACACGCTGGTGAAAGTTCACCATTGTTTTGTGCGGAGTAGGGCCATGGAGTCGATAGCTCTGTGTCTCAATGAGGCCCAATGCGGAGACATGAAAAGTAAGAGTACGGGCATGGCATCCCATCATGTTCGTAGTCGTTTTCGGGCCCAACTAACATGAAGGTGTCCACGCTGGAGCTCTTTGTGGACCTAACTGCTGCGCTTTACTCGGCATTCGCCAGTTCATCCTCCAACTGCCTGGTGAGGAGGAAGAGCGAACTTCGGCCTTCAGAGATTTAGATATGCCCCAAGCTTTGTTTGATGTGGCTCAGGCATTACAGTGCATACCCATCCTGGATGGGATAGTTCATGGCAGACATTTGCTTGAGTTGGTTCGTGATTCGCAGGCAGGGGGAGATGGAAGGTGAGGAATGCTACCAAAGAACTGATTCCGACAATCGGCAAAGGACCAGGCACTGTGTTTGCCAGCGATGCGTTCAATGTTGCATTTGAGCCGATCATAATCTCCATCGAGAACAACATTAAGGGGGCTGATATGCATTGGAAGCCGGGTGAAGTGGAGGAGTTCGAGCTCCATTCCTCTGGGGCAAAACACTGGACCAAGCAAGGCAACTCTGTTGCTTTTATAGACGACCTCACGCCAGTGGCCACCAGTGGCATGGCTGCTGATGCCCCTGCTAAAGCCAACGAATTGATCGATATTGTGTTCCAAAGCTGTGTGCTCTTTCGGACTTCGGCTCAATGCCCAGAACACCTTTCTGATGATGTCTCTGGTCGGTTCTGGGTCCAAGAAAACTCTGGCTGAAATGGCTTCTCGGGGGAGGAGAGACAATATCGTTTCTCAGCAGTTTGGAGTTCGTGTCTAGATTGTGAAGCAGATGAATG